CGGCTGATCTAATGCGTAAGGATCCCATAATTATGGTCTAGTGGTTAGGATCCGGCGTTGTCACCGCCGTGGCCCGGGTTCGATTCCCGGTGTGTGTACTTTTCTTTTACTGAATTTCTAGAAAACAAATACATCAGTGAAGTTTAAATTCCTTTGCCGAATGCCTACAACTACCGCCAATGTAATCCTAATGGTCTAGTGGTTAGGATCCAGCGCTCTCACCGCCGTGGCCCGGGTTCGATTCACGGTGTGGGAAATGAGTGCTTTTAATCGTGTGGATATACACTAATACTTTTTAGATAAACACTCGCTTGTTTTGATCATTTGAAGCAAGATATGCGACGGAAGGGATGTTGTACGACTTATATCTCGTACGTACAACTTATATCTCATACGTATGACATATGAATTGCAACTCGTATGTACGACATATAAGTCGTTAGTACGGGTTATAAGTCGTACGTACGAGTGGGCTAAAAGATAATTTTTTTTCTCACCATGTCCCTAATACAGCTTCGTACATTTGTGCGCAAAATGAAAGCCCCTTTTCAGAGAGTTCCAGACACCACAACTCGGAAAAGTAGATTCTTCGGTACAACAAAACATACAAATTGAAAATTTGTCAGGAAAAAAAGAAAAGAGAGAGAAAAAAAATCGTCTTTGGGTTATACATCGGTCACTGTTATACACGTTCACTCAGTGGACACTGAGAGTTGGAAAGATTTCGCTTGTAACTGTTATGCTGTGTCAGACTTAATCACTGTTTACAAAAATGTTTAACCGAGATTGTTTAACTTATGATTTCATACAAAAGCATTTTTTGTTCTTTTGTCCAGGATATGGGATTACATACCTCGGCTTGCATCTGATGGGCTCACCTACGCACGGATGCCATTATGGTCTTGTGGTTAGGATCCAGCGTTTTCACCGCCATGGCCCAGGTTCGATTCCCGGTGTGGGAACTTTTTTTAACTGAATTTCTGGAGCACAAATACATCAGTGAAATTTTAATTCCTTTGCCGAATGCCTACAACGACCGCCAACGAAATCCCATATGGTCTAGTGGTTAGGATCCGGCGTTTTCACCGCCGTGGCCCGGGTTCGATTCCCGGTGTGGGAAATTCTTTTTGGTGAACTTCCAGAACAGCAAGTACATCGGTGCAATTTTATATTCAACAAGCTGGTTTACCCGATCATAGATCGGGTAGGGCGTAGTGTTGGGGATGAAATTGTGGGGAGTTAAATGTAAATGGGGGATATAGTTGGGGAGACATGCAGTTAAAGAACAGCAATTTCTGTGGTGTGATCTGAGGCGATTTCTGATCACTAAAACCAATTTGAGCAAAAGATCATCTGTGAAAGTTTTGAATTTTGAGTAATTGAATCAGCTACATGTATTCTGAGCAATAGAATCATTATTGTAGGCTACAATATTTTTATTCGGGGAAGAAAAAGTGTGTGTGTGGGGGGAGGGGGAGACCAAACAATGTCCCCCCTCAAAATGTGTGTCTGTGTGTGTGGGTGTGTGTGGGTGTGTGTGTGTGTGTGTGTGGGGGGGGGGTTCCCCCTGTCCCCCGTCGATTTACGCACATGATAATTATGTACCATGGCAACTGTCTGTAAATGTCCCCGTTGGTCTGTTAAATTGGCATTTTGTGAGGCAGTCGCATTTGGAAATCGTAGTGAAAAGGTTACTGTAGTACACAGGCGAAGGCTGGTTGTACAGTTTGACAATAAATCATAATGCAATAAAACGTGAAGGTGTCATTTAAAATGAAAATGTTGAGTGTGACCATAAAATTACAAACGGTCTGAATCATGGAGGAAGGTCATATTTAAGTTTCAGTATTGGACTCTTCAACAAACGTAAACTTGAACTTCTAACAATTTGCGAGACCGTCTGCGATTCAACTTTTATTCAAGTTGGTTCAACCATCTATATATAAGAGCAAGTTTTACTCGGCCTCCGAGAAATGTTTGCTTCTGAAAGGATCCGAGACCGCGGCTTCACGTCCGTGGAAAAATGTGGATGTCTTCCGCCGGGTCGGACACTTTTTCGTCGATTTTTTTGTGACTTCGTTTAAGATCGCGATATTTGAAGCAATGCATCGATCCTTCGTTGGCCCCAAACAGGCCCCCGAAATTATAACGCGACACTGAATTATACGTGGCGGGCAGCGAACTCACAACGCTCAGCCTTGGTGGTGGAAGAATGGAGCTGTAAACACATTATGGAAGCAACAGCACTCTATCACGCGACGTCACATGCGTGCGCTTCAAATAGCGAGCACCGTAGACCCAACCTCGTTTGCAGGGTGTGGGGCAGGCTGCAGTACGCGTTGCCATCGACAGTTTTGCATAGCCCGGAAATACTATGCAGTGTAGACTTTCGATTGGTCAGACCGCGCAAGGCATACTAAGTGTAGTCCTTCTGAGTATTCGTTGCACTCGGCGCAGGGGCGGCAAGCAAAGCACTGGAAACAATAGGGACACTTGGTGGCCACGCACCATGGAGAAAAAATATTTTGCCAAGGCCACCCCATACTACCATTTAGTGAACACTTTTGCAGAACGGCCGAGTAGAACACGTAAACGAAACCCCTACGTTGACCTCGCTGACCTCGCACCAGCCAGCACAGGGGGCGGCCAGGCAGTCAACGTGAAAGCGCACACGACGGCAAATTCCTGCGCAAAACGCAGTCACGAAAAATCGACGAAATGGATCGCCAGTCCGTACGGGAAAATTAGGACGACCCGAAGCGTCCGACCCGGCGGAAGACACCCTCCGCATTTTTCCACGGACGTGGAGCGATTTTGGCGCCGCGTGAGCCCGCGGTCTCGGATCCTTTTATGAGCAAACATCGTCTCGGGGGCGAGTAAACTTCTCTCTTATATATATAGATATCCAATGCTCACTATTAAGGCCAAAGAAATCCCATATGGTCTAGTGGTTCGGATCCGGCGCTCTCACCGCCGTGGCCCGGGTTCGATTCCCGGTGTGGGAATTGTTTTGTAATCGTATGGATATACACTAACTTGTAGATAAACACATTCGTCTACGAATTTTGAGTTTCACCTCGAAAAATAGAGTTTTTTTCAATTGCTATTATCTATATTCCTAAAATTTTTTCACTTTTTGAATGAGACATCGAACGATAAAAAAAACCCACCGACGTTTAGTTATTGAATTATTTCTTCACAAAATTGAAATTATTTGCTGCCAGACAATAATTCGGCTCTCGCAGGGCGGGTTCAATCATGCACAAAACAAAAGCCCCTTTTCAGTGGGTGGGTTGCGGACGCCCAAAATGGGAATAAAATAGATTCTTCGTCAAAACAAAATATACGTTGGAATCCCTCATTATCATGACGACGGGCAGAGCATACTGTTCGAAACGTTGAGTCCCTCCGGTTCTTTTCAGAACCACACATAAAAAGAGATTTATTCACATGGTGCTACCGCAAACTTTTCTTGTCTTGACAAATTGAAAATGTGTTAGGAGAAAAACAAAATCATTATTTTTTTTACTGAGCACTGGACCAGTGTACGTCGGTGAAAGATTTCGCTTGTAAATGTAATGCTGTGTCAGACTAAACCATCGATTTGATCACTGTTTTCAAAACGTTTAACCGAGATTGTTTAACTTATAATTACACACAAAAACATTTTTATTCTTTTGTCCTGGATATGTGATATACCTTTGCTTCCATCTGATGTTTTAAAACCAAAGTAAGGATTCCGATATGGTCTAGTGGTTGGAATACAGTACTCTCACCACCGTGGCCCGGGTTCGATTCACAGTGTGGACATTCTTTTTTTAATGAACTTCCAGAACAGCAAAAAATTATATCGGTGATTTTTTTTTATATTTAACGTCCAATGCCTATCATTAAGGCCAATGGAATTCCTGATATGGTCTAGTGGTTAGTATCCGGCGTTTTCATCGCCGTGGCCCGGGTTCGATTCCCGGTGTGGGAACTTTTCTTTCACTGAATTTCTAGAAAACAAATACATCAGTGAAATTTAAATTCCTTTGCCGAATGCCTTCAACTACCGCCAACGGAATCCCATGTGGTTAGGATCCGGCGCTCTCACCGCCGTGGCCCGGGTTCGATTCCCGGTGTGGGAAATGAGGTTTTTTCTTTAATAATCGTGTGGATAAAAATAATAATTTTGTAGATAAAGACTCGCTTCTTCTGATCATTTGAAGCAGATATGCGACGGAGGGGACCCCCTTCTTTTATTTTGGTCATTGTGTTTCCGAAATTCAATTATTGACTGTTTGAGTCAAGGTCATCTAAATAAAAAACCACAGCAAAAGTGGTCAATGTGGGGCTCGAACCCACGACCTTCGCGTTATCAGCACGACGCTCTACCGACTGAGCTAACCGACCATTCAGGTTAAGGTTGCGTTCCCGTACTTTCTTCGAGATTCACCTCGAAAATAGATTTTTTTTTCAATTGCTATATAAATTACTAGCAATACATGTATAAAGGTTATTCACTTTTGAATGAGACATCGAACGATAAAAAAAAACTCCACCGACGCTGAGGTATTGAATTATTTCTCGATACAAAAATGGAATTATTTGCTGCCAGTGATTCGGCTCTCGCAGGGCAGGTTCATTCATAATGCAAAACAAAAGCCCCTTTTCAGAGGGTTGCAGACGCCCAAAATCGGAATAAAGTCTATTCTTCGTTTAAACAAAACAGTAAGCCACATTGAACATTTTGTTAGGAGAAACAATTATATTGTTATATTGCAATATACATATACGCGGGGTATTGATCACTGAGCATTGATCACTGCTTAATACACATGTTTACTCGGTGGGAACTGAGTGAAGTGGAGAGATTTCGCTTGTAAATTTAATGCTGTGTCAGACTTAACCATCGATTTGATCACTGTTTGCAGAAACGTTTAACCGGGATTGTTTAACTTATGATTATTGCTTGTATCTGATCATGTTTTAAAACTATATCTGACCTACGTAAGGATTCCCATATAGTCTAGTGGTAAGGACCCGGCGTTTTCACCGCCGTGACCCGGGTTCGATTCCCGGTGTGGGAAATTTTTGAACTGATCTTTTAGAACAAAATACATCAGTGAAATGTTAATTCCTTTGCCGAATGCCTACAACGACCGCCAACGAAATCCCATATGGTCTAGTGGTTAGGATCCGGCGTTTTCACCGCCGTGGCCCGGGTTCGATTCCCGGTGTGGGAAATTCTTTTTGGTGAATTCTAGAACAGCAAATACATCGGTGAAATTTTTTATATTCAATGTCCAATGCCTATCGTTAAGGCCAACGGCATCCCATATGGTCTAGTGGTTAGGATCCGGCGCTCTCACCGCCGTGGCCCGGGTTCGATTCCCGGTGTGGGAACGTCTTTTTGGTGAATTTCCAGAACAGAAAAATACATCCAATGCTTATTGTTAAGGCCAACATAATCCCATATGGTCTAGTGGTTAGGATCCGGCGCTCTCACCGCCGTGGCCCGGGTTCGATTCCCGGTGTGGGAAATGAGTGCTTTTAATCGTGTGGATATACACTAGTAATTTTTAGATAAACACTCGCTTGTTTTGATCATTTAAAGCAAGATATGCGACGGAAGGGATGTTTTACGACTTATATTGCGTACGTACGACTTATATCTCGTACGTATGACTTATGAATTGTAACTAGTACGTACGACATATGAGTCGTAAGTACGAGATATAAGTCGTACGTACGGGTTATAAGTCGTGGATTTAATCGTATGGATATACACTAACTTGTAGATGAATACATTCCCCTACTAATTTTGAGTTTCACCTCGAAAAATATATTTTTTCAACTGCTATTATCTATATTCCTAAAAATTATTCACTTTATGAATGAGACATCGAACGATAAAAACCCATCGACGTTTAGTTATTTAATTATTTCTCCACAAAATTGGAATTATTTGCTGCCAGACAATAATAATTGGGCTATCGCAGGGCAGTCTCAATCATGCGCAAAACAAAAGCACCTTTCAGAGGGTTGCGGACGCCCAAAATGGGAATAAAATAGATTCTTCGTTAAAACAAAATATACAAATTGAAAATGTGTTAGGAGAAATATAAAATCTTTTTGTTTTTTACAGAGCACTGGACCGGTGTACGTCGGTCACTGTTAAACGTGTTTACTCGGTGGGAACTGAGTGAATTGGAAAGATTTCGCTTCTAAATGTAATGCTGTGTCAGACCATCGATTTGATCACTGTTTTCAAAATAATGTTTAACCGAGATTGTTTAACTTATGATTACTCACAAAAACATTTTTGTTCTTTTGTCCAGAATATGCGTTATACCTTTGCTTGCATCTGATGTTTTAAAACCAATGTAGGGATTCTGATATGGTCTAGTGGTTGGGATCCGGTACTCTCACCACCGTGGCCCGGGTTCGATTCACAGTGTGGACATTCTTTTTTAATGAACTTCCACAACAGCAAATAATTATATCGGTGATTTTTTTTTATTTTTATATTTAACGTCCAATGCCTATCATTAAGGCCAATGGAATTCCTGATATGGTCTAGTGGTTAGTATCCGGCGTTTTCATCGCCGTGGCCCGGGTTCGATTCCCGGTGTGGGAACTTTTCTTTCACTGAATTTCTAGAAAACAAATACATCAGTGAAATTTAAATTCCTTTGCCGAATGCCTTCAACTACCGCCAACGGAATCCCATATGGTCTAGTGGTTAGGATCCGGCGCTCTCACCGCCGTAGCCCGGGTTCGATTCCCGGTGTGGGAAATAAGGTTTTTTCTTTTATAATCGTGTGGATATAAAATAATATTTTTGTAGATAAAGACTCGCTTCTTCTGATCATTTGAAGCAGATATGCGACGGAGGAGACCCCCTTCTTTTATTTTGGTCATTGTGTTTCCGAAATTTAATTATTGACTGTTTGAGTCAAGGTCATCTAAATAAAAAACCACAGCAAAAGTGGTCAATGTGGGGCTCGAATCCACGACCTTCGCGTTATCAGCACGACGCTCTACCGACTGAGCTAACCGACCATTCAGGTTAAGGTTGCGTTCCCGTACTTTTTTCGAGATTCACCTCGAAAATAGATTTTTTTTTTCAATTGCTATATAAATTACTAGCAATATAAAGGTTATTCACTTTTGAATGAGACATCGAACGAAAAAAAAAAACTCCACCGACGCTGAGGTATTGATTTATTTCTTGATACAAAATTGGAATTATTTGCTGCCAGTGATTCGGCTCTCGCAGAGCGGGTTCATTCATAATGCAAAACAAAAGCCCCTTTTCAGAGGGTTGCAGACGCCCAAAATCGGAATAAAGTCTATTCTTCGTTTAAACAAAACAGTAAGCCACATTGAACATTTTGTTAGGAGAAACAATTATATTGTTATATTGCAATATACATATACGCGGGGTATGCATTGATCACTGCTTAATACACATGTTTACTCGGTGGGAACTGAGTGAAGTGGAGAGATTTCGCTTGTAAATTTAATGCTGTGTCAGACTTAACCATCGATTTGATCACTGTTTGCAGAAACGTTTAACTGGGATTGTTTAACTTATGATTATTGCTTGTATCTGATCATGTTTTAAAACTATATCTGACCTACGTAAGGATTCCCATATAGTCTAGTGGTAAGGACCCGGCGTTTTCACCGCCGTGACCCGGGTTCGATTCCCGGTGTGGGAAATTTTTAAACTGATCTTTTAGAACAAAATACATCAGTGAAATGTTAATTCCTTTGCCCAATGCCTACAACGACCGCCAACGAAATCCCATATGGTCTAGTGGTTAGGATCCGGCGTTTTCACCGCCGTGGCCCGGGTTCGATTCCCGGTGTGGGAACTTTTCTTTTACTGAATTTCTAGAAAACAAATACATCAGTGAAATTTAAATTCCTTTGCCGAATGCCTTCAACTACCGCCAACGGAATCCCATATGGTCTAGTGGTTAGGATCCGGCGCTCTCACCGCCGTGGCCCGGGTTCGATTCCCGGTGTGGGAAATGAGGTTTTTTCTTTTGTAATCGTGTGGATATAAAATAATAATTTTGTAGATAAAGACTCGCTTCTTCTGATCATTTGAAGCAGATATGCGACGGAGGGGACCCCCTTCTTTTATTTTGGTCATTGTGTTTCCGAAATTTAATTATTGACTGTTTGAGTCAAGGTCATCTAAATAAAAAACCACAGCAAAAGTGGTCAATGTGGGGCTCGAACCCACGACCTTCGCGTTATCAGCACGACGCTCTACCGACTGAGCTTACCGACCATTCAGGTTAAGGTTGCGTTCCCGTACTTTTTTCGAGATTCACCTCGAAAATAGATTTTTTTTTTTCAATTGCTATATAAATTACTAGCAATATAAAGGTCATTCACTTTTGAATGAGACATCGAACGAAAAAAAAGAACCAACCGACGCTGAGGTATTGAATTATTTCTTAATACAAAATTGGAATTATTGGCTGCCAGTGATTCAGCTCTCGCAAGGCGGGTTCATTCATTATGCAAAACAAAAGCCTCTTTTCAGAAGGTTTCAGACGCCCAAAATCGGAATAAAGTCGATTCTATGTTTAAACAAAACATATAGGCTAAATTGAACATTTGTAAGGAGAAACAATTATATTTGTTATATACAAAAAAAGTGCGCGGGGTATGCATTGGTCACTACTTGTTTACATGTTTACTCGGTTGACACTGAGTGAAGTGGAAAGATTTCGCTTGTAAATTTAATGCTGTGTCAGACTTAACCATCGATTTGATCACTGTTTGCAAAAACGTTTAACCTGGATTGATTAACTTATGAGTATTGCATGTGTCTGATCATGTTTAAAACTGTATCTGCCCTACGTAAGGATTCCCATATAGTCTAGTGGTTAGGATCCGGCGTTTTCACCGCCGTGGCCCGGGTTCGATTCCCGGTGTGGGAACCTCTTTTTAGTGAACTTACAGAACAGCAAATACATCGTTGAATTGAATATTAAATGTCCAATGCCTGTTGTTAAGGCCAACGGAATCCCATATGGTCTAGTTTTTAGGATCCGGCGCTCTCACCGCCGTGGCCCGGGTTCGATTCCCGGTGTGGGAAACAAGTCTATTTTTATCGTGTGGATATACACTAACTTGTAGATAAAAAAACACTCGCATCTCTTTTTCATTTTGAAGCAAGATATGCGACGAAGGAGACGCTCCTTTTCGGTGTTTGTCATTGTGTTCCCGGAATTCACTAATAAAAATTATGTTTTAGTCAAACGTTTTTAAATACTGAAGAAAAGAAAAGTGGTCAATGTGGAGCTTAAACCCACGACCTAGGCGTTATCCGCACGACGCTCTACCGACTGAGATAACCGACCCCTTGACCGAGGGTCATTAATGTTAGTCTTTGACGCTGAACGATTGTCAAATAATCTGTAAAAATCATTTTGGGGAATTTCTAGAACAAGACTAAGTATAGTACTGCATGTGTATTGAAACTGAAATTCATCACCCAAAACCATTAATGCATATGAAATGTGTCCATTGGGTGAGTCCCTGGCTTGATGTTCCGCAGTTGAGATCATGATTGTCTGATCAAAGTGGCTCAGAATATGTAATCGGACGTTCGAAAGAAACAAGGAAAATGCACACAAACCTTAGTAGATTTTCCCGGTTTTTCTTAGTCTTGGCCCAAGACGCTAGTGATCGATAGTGGACGGTGAATAGTGCGCCCTCTAATGGCGCAACAATTAGACCAGCGGGCCTACTCACACTAACGTCTTGGTCATTTCGTATCAGCGGTTTAACTTTTTTTTTTCCTGGACTTTCCTAGGGAACCAATCAGCGATCGAGATATGCTCGCCAGACGGTTGTAAACATACGTGCTATTTACATAAAATGGCCACGCCTCCATTGCTACGAAATTACCAAGACGAATAGTGAGAGAACATAACTAATCAATTGACCTGAGACGTAATGACGTAATGGCTTTGTTTACGCTTTCCTATGGGAGCGAAGTCAGGACGCCAGATGAAGTGGGGACCGTCTACTACATAGGAAAGCGCACATGTAAATAAAG